ACAAAATCAAATATGTGTAATAATTATTGCATACTTTATACAAATTATAAAGTATAAGTGTTATACATTATAATATTAACTTACATAAATATGTGTATATGTATGTACATATATTCAAAAATTTACCGTTGTAAACACCGTTATTACTTAAAATTTTAAATACGAAAATTTAACACTTCTTTTTCTCAAATAAATCATTTTTTTTTTCTTGTAAATTATTATTTTATTTTTTTTTTGTCAATTTATTTTAAATTTCACTTAATTAAATTTAACACCGGAAACGTAAGACCGTAAATTTATTCAAAAAAAAAAATTTTTTATTTTAATTAACGCATATTATTTTTACAGGTTATTTTCTTAATTTACTATTAATTTTTTTATTTTCTCTTTTTTCTTGTCTCTCAAAAAAATTTTTAATTACAAAAGCACAAAATGATCATATTATGTATAATAATAATAATAAGAAAAAAAAAAAACGACAAAAAAATTTAATTGCAAAATAACCACATGTGAGTCACAAAACTAATCATCACTTGTATATACCGCAAGTGGAATAAAATTTTTCGTTATCACCATCTGTGTGCTGCGCACAAACTGTCACTTAACCAAAAGAAAAAATCAAAATAGACCCTAAACTACAAAAAAATAATAATAATAATAAAAAAAAAAATATATATAATAAAACACAAAAATTTGTGTGACTCTTTTTTTTTTTTTCTTGTCTCTGTGACTGTTTTGTGACTCTGCGACGATGACAATATAATGGCCATTTTCCACAAGCGATATATAAAAAGCATTATTTTCTGTTTTTCTTCTTTCTGCTTCTTGTTTTTTCATTTTTCTTTTTTTTTCTCCGTTTATTTTTTTGTTTTGTTTTTCTCATCATCATCGTCGTCGTTGTCGTCGTCGTTTTTGTCGTCGTTATTGCCGTTGCTTACTGCTACTTTTTTTGTTTTTGTTATTTTTTATGCTGCTGTTTTTATTTTCATCGTCATCATCATGCTTATTTGACTTTTTTTTTTCATATTTTCTGTTATTATTATTATTTTTTATATACATATATTTGGAACGAAAGAAAAACACAGAGTAAGAGATAGAGTCAACTTTACTCACTCACTTTTATTAATATAATATTATAGTATAATTTTGTACATATAAAAAAAAAAAATCTACACTCCATCCAACTAAATACGATTTGTTAAACTTGCTCTTCTAAACTTCAATTTACGAATTGTGGAAGAGACAAAAATAATAGAGAAGAGACATAAAATAAATTTTTTCTATATATGTATACATATTTCTATGCATATACACTTTTATATGTATGTATGTATGTAAATACTATATGAAAATATAAAAATAAACAAAGCATGTATAGAATAGATTAGAGTGTATAAAATACAAAGTATAAAAAGTGTAGCAATAATAATATGTGCATATTGTGTGTTTGTAGTTTGTGTGATATTATAAAATAATAATAAGAAGAACAAAAGGTAAAAATAAAAATCAAAAAAGAAAAATAAAGAAAAACATAACATACATAACACAAAACATAAGTACGAAAATTTAATCGTTGTCGTAATATTTTCAACTTCGTTACCGGAATAGCTTTTTTGAAATACATTTTACTTTTTAATAATTTTTTAATATATCCACAAAATATGTAATCTGATACATATAAACATATATACAAGCATGCATATATGTATATGTATGGAAGTATATATATAAATAGATACTTCCATACATAATAATATGTTGTATATAATATTTAATGTCAACAGACCGCATGGTAAAATTTGCTACCGCGGCCCTCATCGAACCTAATTTCTGCTAATATTATTTGTGAATTTTAGTTTCAAACAAATTTAAAAATACAAAATATATAATATGTATGTACCTATGTACATTTGTGTGTATGCGTATAGTCATGTATATAATGTATATATTCAAGTGTTTATGTATGGATGTATGTTTGTATGAAGGTTATATTTTATTAGAAAAATATCAAAAAAGGAAAATCAATTTAAAAATAAATTAGTAAAATGTGGAAATTAATATACTCAAACTACATACTTACATGCATGCAAACCATACTCGAAAAATTATACCAACACAAGCACTTACCAAATTATTGTTGGATTAACGATTTTTTCTATTTCAATTATCATTATTGCCATAATATAATATATGTATGTAGTTATTGTGCCTACATCTATGATGTGCATGTGTTTGTATGGATCCATCCATAAGTTTTAAATACATTTATTATTATCTTTTTTATTAATTTAAATTTCATAATCAAATCTCATCTCATCATCATAATCAATTTTCACAATCATTATCATTTTTCTCATAATTCTCTATTCTCTTGCTTTGCTCTACCTCATTTTTGTGCAATTTTATAATAATCATGTTAAACATACACAAATTCATAAAAGAAGAAAAATAAAGAGAAAATAAAGGTGAAAAAATTAAATTGAGAGTATTCTCATTTTTTTCCCATTTTTATTCTCTTTACATTATTTATATCAACGAAACTGTATGCACGTTTGTATACCTATATAGTAATAAGCATTTATTTTAATTTGTACATTTTTGTCGTTTGTTGTCGCCGTTTTTTATACCATATTTTTCATATTTAATAAGTAAAGTATGCAAAATGTTAACAAAAATACAGACGTGGTCATAAAAACACTGTTAAAATTCCTATTAAAATTTATTTTCTAAGTTTATGAAAATGTTATATTTATATGTTATATTTATTTAACTAGTGTAAAACATATTATAAAAGCGAAATTAAAAATATTAAAAGAAAAATATTATTTAAGAAGTTACTGTTTTTTGGTAGTTAGTTAATAATCGTAGAAGAAGAGAAAGTTTTAACTTTTTTTAGATTTCCAGTGAAGAAATGCAAGGAATGATTGAAAAACAGACTTATGGATCCTCTAGCAGTTTAAATAATTTTTTCAGTCCAAAATTGAAAAAAGGCCGAGTTCCCTGATTTTCTTAAAATACTTAGCCGTCGAAAAAAAATTTTCTTTAGGGATCCAAGATATTAAGTAGTATTTCAATTTTTGTAATGAGTTAAGTGTTTTGTTGAAATAAAAATTGAACATGAAATTGGTAGATTGAACCACGTCATTCTAACCTTCATCCACGTTATTTTAAAATACGATATTCCAGAAAATCATAAATATTTTCGAAAAATCTGATTATCGAAAATTATTTAATGGTTGAAACTTTTCGATTATGCTAAAAACAAAACTTAAGTTTCTGACAAATTCAAATTTTAGTAAATAGAAGTTTTATAAATTGATAATTAATTTTAGTCAACTCTCAATTTTCTCAATTTTGTAAAATTAAAAAGCTTTACCACAAATAACACTATATACACATGAAAAGTTTAAATCATCTTTATTTTAAAGGAAAATTTTTATAGACACGTACTAATGAAAATGAATGTAACAATTAATATCCAAAATATTTTAAGTTTTTATTTTAAGAAAAAAGTATAGATTCTATGTCACTATTGATACGAATTCCTGGACCTATTTTTACGTGTACTTGACACTTAATTATGCCTAATTCTTGTGTAATATGGCTGAATCGCTCAAAAATCAGATACAAATTTATATTTGTGTAATTTACAATATGACGTCGTTATATATGATGTTACGATTTAATTTCCTTTTTTATATGACGTACAGAAAGAAAGCAATTTGTAAGAACTAAAATAAAATAATTCAAATTTTCATTTAAGTTGAAATCTAACTACAACCTTCTTTTTAAATTCGAATATAAATGTAGTGTAATGTTTACATAAATTGTTGCTCACTTTTGCAATTTACTAAATTTTACTGCTTTTTCTTATCGACCACACTTGTTTGAATAATGACAATATTAAAATGACAGTACACATTTGCAATGACACAAGAACTTAATATATATTATATAATATATAAGTATATTTATTGGATGAAAGTCAAAAAGAGGGGAAGAAATGTAAATATAAGTGCTTAAAATTTTGTTACAAATTACAATTAAATCGTAAAGAGGAAATACATAATAAGAATGAAGGATAGATAAGGAATTAAATTATATTTTTGTAATTTGAAAAGGGAATTACAACTTATCACTGAAAAGGTATATAATGTTAAAATACTTTGTTTTTAATTTACATATATCAAATGTTGAACTAATCTTTGATATACTATTGTAGCTAGGCGTAATGGAAAATAATGTTTCGAAGTTTCAAAACAGAACGTCATTAAAAATGCAAGTGCATTTAAAACAGCTTGATTAAATTATTGAATTCTAGCTAATGAGACATATCCATTGCAAGTACGAAGGCATGATGTGCTATACACCGGTCGAAATATTATACACAGATTAATGTAGATCATCTTTTCAAAATATAATAAGTACTTGCCTTGAATATTTGAAATTAAATTAATATAATTAATTTAATTTTAGCCTATGGACACTACGTGTAATATTAAATTTTGTGTTCGGTATTTCTTTGTAATTAAAGTGATATAATAAAATACATAAATCATAAAAGTTCTTAAAATTTGTTTTTTCCATTTTGAAGTAGTTTGAGAGTTACTACAAGGTTGTTTTTGGAGATTTATATTAGATTTTGAAAAATATTTTGTAGAATTTAAAAATTCAAATATTTTTCAATTAATTTCAATTGAAAATCACAAATAATTTCAAGAAACTCTTTGTAATTTTCATTTATAAGAATGGATAAGAATGTAAAAACATTCGAATAAAATCCAAACATAAACAGTGATTTATCTTCCTTTTGCTTTAATCCTCATCATTTTCTACAAATTTCAGTTTTTGAAATCTCAAGAATTTAGGATTTTTAAGAAAACCAATAACTTTTGTATTTAAAAAGTATTTGCACTGAACTTCAAAATGACAAACAGTTTGTAGTAGATAGAACTTAATTTAACTCCTTTTGAAATATCAACTATCGAAAAAGTTAAGCCTTTTTATGTTTTTTATGTAAATCCTTCATTTATTCAACATTTTAATTTCGGATATTAAGGAATAATTTTATGTTCCTTACATAAAAAAATTAATCTTAATTTACAATCTACGACCACGACGACCACCCTTTCTACGTGTCGAATCTGATGGAATTGGAGTTACATCTTCAATACGTCCAATTTTCATTGATGATCGAGCTAAAGCTCTCAATGCTTGTTGTGCTCCAGGTCCTGGTGTTTTTGTTTTATTACCACCAGTGGCACGCAATTTAATATGTAAAGCAGTGATACCTAGCGATTTACATTTTTCAGCAACATCCTAAAACATTAACATATTAAACTAAAATGAATTTTTTTTATATTCTAAATAAATACTTGTGCAGCTAACATAGCAGCGTAAGGAGATGCTTCATCACGATCAGCTTTTACTTTCATACCACCAGTAACTCGAGCTATCGTTTCACGACCAGATAAATCAGTTACATGTACAAATGTGTCATTAAAACTAGCAAAAATATGTGCAACACCAAATACATTTTCGCCATCACGTACTTGTGGTCCAAGAGAAACTTGAACTTCTTCTTTTTGTGTTTTATTTTTACGTGGTGCCATTATTTAATAATTCTGAAATACAAGTTGAGACATATCAGTTTTTTATATTGTGTTAATTATGGTAAACAAATAATTATTCCAAAACATCTGCTGTATTTTACAAGCATTTGCTCAATCCATATCAAAATAAGTTTTGCAACTTATTGTAAATTAATATTATTATATATTTTTATAAATAACGCGAATGATATATAGAATTTTATTAAAATTATATTAACCTTTTTTTAAGCCGACCAATAAAAAGGACCGGAAAACGGGAAAGAAATTGACAGTTGGAATTTATAATGTTTTAATTGTCAAAATTTAAAGCAGATACGAAACTGACATCTGTGGGTGAATGTGATTACTAAAAATTGTTTGGGTGAATTGAATAGGGTGGACTAGAATAGAAATAGGTCAATTCATTAAAAAAAGTAATTAAAGAATAATGATTGATTATGTATTAAATAGTTGATGAAATAATAAGAATTTTCATCAATTAAAAAATAAAGAAACATAATTTTCTATACATATTCAAAGAAAATATGGAAAATTAAAAATTTAGCGGACAACTAGGTAGGTATAAACCTTGAAATTTTTAAAAATCTATGTAAACATGAATTGTTTAATGGGGTGACGGTCACTTCCCACAAAAGCCAACTTGTACCTTACTAAAAAAATAGTCACCAAAATGGGTTGCAAGAAGTGACTGACCGTCAATAACCGAAAATGTCAACGACAAAATACATTTTTTTATCTTAATATTCTATGTATAACTTGCTTCAACTTAGCTCAATAGATGGGTCTGCCCAAAATGGGAAAATTGTAAAATTTTCTATACCTAAAAATTTTACACTAGATTGGATATCTGATAGGTAATTGGGTGAGTCTTTGAACATAAACACCATGGGTTATAAAAATGATTTTCTTCCGAAATTACAGGATTTTGGAATAACAACCCATTACATCAAGGAATGCGACAACAGATTATGGGTAAATATTTTTACAGTGAATAAAAGTTATTTATTTTTTTATTTTTATATTAAAATTCAAAATTTAAGCAACATGACAAATTTTTTTAAGAATTTCAAAGTTTACTTATATTATACCAACTTCTTATAGTAACTAAAGTACTGCAATGATTTTTTCTGGTATTATAAAAATATTTCATAAAAACTTATAACATTGGTAAATATTTCTCATAATTTATTGAAATATTTTTTAAATAAATTTTGAGGTTTTATATTCAGTTAAAAATATAAATCTGCTAGTCCCATTCAAAAACTGGCTTTCCTTCAGAGTCCCATGTGTTTTTACATTTTTTAAACGTACAAACTAAATAAAGTGCTAAAATTAAATTAAAGTTAATTTCGTATCTTTCTTAATTCGTACTTTTTAATTAAAAAAATTAAATTTAGAATATATTTTTTCATAGTTATCGTGTAGAAAAATATATCCTAAAATTAACTTCAATTTCTCATTTAATAAAAACTGTTTATATACTTGTCGTCTCCCATTCAGATTTAGATAATGTTCCCACAGTTTTTTGTCTACCATAATTCGATGACAAATATTTTTTACAATGTGCATATTCATCTTCCCCTTGACCAACCAAACTTCCATTCCTCGGCGGAGGATAACTTTCTAATGCTTGCATTCGTTGCAGCAATCCTTTACCTAAATTAAAAATTTTAGGCAACAGAAATTTAATTTTTAATGTACATTATATATAATCAAATAACGAAAAAATTTTTTTATAATACCATGTTCAATATTTTTCTTATAATAATCGGCAAAACTTGATTTCATTTCGAGTTTAAGTCCGTTTTTTCTACACAGTTTTTCGAAGGTAGGGAAATGAACTAGAAATTCAGGACAATCTACAACATCCTCCAAATAAAATTTGTATTTAGCACCAAATAAAGGTGGTCTTTCAGTATCACATATAAAATCAATGTTGTATACACTGTTCCCAAATTTTCTGCCATACAGCCTTTGCCTTCGCATGATTTCATTCGCATCAGGTATAGTTGCAATGAAATATCCACCAGGTAAAAGACATTCGGCTGCATTGCGTACCATAATTTCAGCTTGAGTTAAGGATTCAAAACAATAATGAAATGCAAATTGACAACTAACTAAATTTAATTTCATTGATGGATCTTTATATTTTTCTCGTAGACGTTCTAGTGTTGAATCACATGCAAAAAATTCCGCGGTAAATTTTTTGCTACCGAATTTTTTGTCTGCTCTTGAAATTATTGCATTATAACGCTGTTGGCATTGTTCAACACTTACTTCAGCTATATCCGTGCATATTAAATGTGTTATACCACCTTTCTCCCATTTAAATAAGTCTCCACCTTTTCCACAACACATATCCAAAACGCGCAATGGTTCCCCCAATTTTTGTGTAGATTTAATTTTTTTTAAATATTCTTCAATGAGCATTGATTTAATCCAATTATTGAAATTCCTCATATAAATTATTTTGGATTTTGACCTTTTGGCTAAACCTTTTTCTTCTAGCTTATTATAATGCGTTGCAACAACTTTAGCATTCTCATTGACTTTTTGATATTTTTCTGCATTATCTTGGTTAGAACTAGGTTCATGTTTTCTTTTTAAAATTTTGGGTTCCTGTGTTTGTGAGCTTCCTTCGTTGTCTGAATAGTCTGGTGTTTGATATTGTGTTTCAGATTCTACAGACTGATCATAATAAATTTCACCAGCATTATCTTCCCTACCAGTGTCATCGTTATCATCATCACTAAGATTTAGCTCACCATGCGTGTCTGAGCTCATAATTTTGTATTTAATTTCAATATTTAAAATTATAAAAATTTATAAACAGATTTAATTTAGATGATGACGATTTATAGAGTTTATACAAAAAATTAACTTTCACTTTAGTAGCTACTGCAATTTTAAGAGAAGGTTATTGAATTAACGTCGTTAAACTAGCAACATTCTGAAACTATTTATCAACAAAACTCAAATATTCGATTGGCGTCACTATAAGTGCTATCAATTATAGTATATATAAATATAAAATCACATCCAATAACATATTATAAATTTATTCATTTCGTTTGTTTATTTATTATGTTATTATTACATGTATATATATGTTATGATTACATAAATATATATAGAATTCTACATACTATATTTTACATAGTAAGTAGTCGAAGCTTTGCTGATGATAAAATGAAAGTAATAGAATGAAGGTTTTGTGACAAATTCGGTTACTTCATAATATATAATTTTTTCTGTAATTAAAATATTATATTTTTTTAAACCGCAGTCAACGTACATCTAGAATAGCCCTCATAACGATTCCAGATAACGACTATAGAATATTTTTATTCAATATAAGCAAAAGCAAAACCATTATATTCAACGACGATGGCAGAAATGCAAATTCTGCAATAAATGCTCGTAAATAAATAATTGCGACCGAATTGTAAAACAGAAAACTTAACACTTGTATTGTGTGAACAGCAGATTTTGAATTGCCAATTTTATGTATTTATTTAAAATATTTGAATAATTTTATTTATTAAATATTTTTCTAAAACATTAGTTGAATTTCTCATACTTTTGATATTCATATTTAATATTGCAATTATTTACCATTGGATCTTCAAACTCGTCAACACTGATCAAAATGTCAACTTTATTGTTTTTTTTTTAACTTTTGTTATCACTTTTGTCAACATCCAATGTTATTTATTTCTATATAGGTCCCGCTAAATTTGTCAGAAATTTAAAAATAAAATTTTTCTAGAAATTAAGTATGAGTTTTGAATTGAACTCAGAAGATGTCGAAATTCCACCACCAACAATAGAGGAATCAAAAGAAATTAAAGCAATTAATAAAGAAACCGTTCATAGAATATGTTCTGGTCAAGTGGTTTTAAGTTTGGCTATAGCTGTAAAAGAACTTGTTGAAAATTCCATAGATGCTGGTGCTACAGTGATTGAAGTAAAATTAAAAGAACAAGGCTTAGAGTATGTTGAAGTTTGCGATAATGGACATGGTGTTAGGGAAGAGGATATTAAAGGAATGACCGCAAAGTATCATACTTCTAAAATTAAAGAATTTTCTGATTTAAATGAAGTTGCAACATTTGGTTTTCGCGGCGAAGCCTTAAGTTCTTTGTGTGCTTTATCAGATATGAAAGTTATTACAAAACATAAATCAAGTCCTGTTGGAGTAAGTTTCGAATTGGATCATGAGGGCCAAATAAGAAATAAGTCAGTATGTCCACGAGAAGTGGGAACCACAGTAACGCTATCTAATCTTTTTTCGACTTTACCAGTGAGAAAACGAGAGTTTTCAAAAAACATTAAGAAAGAGTTTGCTAAAATGTGTCAAATTCTTCAAGCTTATTGTCTTGTTTCAAAAGGAATCAAAATTATGTGCTCGAATATTTCAGATAAAGGGCGGAAAACAAATTTTCTATCTACTCAAGGTTCTCATTCTGTACTTGACAATATAGTTGCAATATTTGGATCAAAACAATCGTCGGAATTAGTGGTATTGAAACCACCATTGTTAAATGATGAAAAATTCTGTGAAGATTCCTTTTTAGAAGTGGAAGATGTATCAAATTCAAGTTTACAAATTCTTAAAGGCGATATCGAAAAACTAAATAATATTAATTTTGAAATTGAAGGATGGATTTCTAGTTGCAGTCATGGTAGTGGAAGAAGTTCAAAGGATCGACAGTACTTCTTTATAAATTCCAGGCCATGTGATAATAAAAATTTATCGAAATTGGTAAATGAAATTTACCACAGATATAACGTTAATCAATATCCATTTGTTTTTCTTAATTTAAAATTAAATCGTTCTGATGTTGATGTCAATGTAACTCCTGATAAACGCCAACTTTTCTTAAATAATGAAAAAATTTTATTACTTGCTGTTAAGAAATCTTTGCTTAACACATTTGGAAATATTCCTTCCACGTACAAAATTCAAAATTCTACGTTGTTAGACTTTAACATTAAAAGCCATTCAAATGAACCAAAAGACGAAGAAGATTTATTTAAAGAGTCTACCTCCCAAAATTTTATGCAAAAATTGTCACAATGGAAACTCTCTGGTTCTACGGACAGTATATCTAAACCGCTAATTACAACCAAACGTAAAACAATCGACGAAATTCAGCAAAGAACTTTCAAATTACGCAAAATTCAAGATTTTTTATCTCAACAGCCTTCGATATCTACAAAAGAATCATTTGCAAGTTATAAATCCGATGAAGATGTTTCGGAGGATGAAAAACAAATAGACAGTTCGGGTTTGAATAATTCCGTAAATATAAATATGCTGCGCGAAGAGTCAAAAGAGTATGATTTTTTATTAAAAAATTCAAACGATTTAGAATCCTCAGAGACAGAATCAACTACTGCAACAAAAACAATCAATGTCGGAAAAAATGTAATTGCAAATTCGTCTCCTGAGGAAATGGTTGCAAAGATTAGTTGTAAGAATGTTCCAAAGAAAAATGATTTAGAAGAAAATCTTTTATTTGAGAAGAAAGTATACAAAGATACAAATGAAATTTCAAATTCAACTCCTGATGAAATGATTAAACAAGATAAGAGTAAGAATGTTTTAAAGATAAATGATTCAGAAGAAAATTTGTTTTTTGAGAAAGAAATGGATAATGATACAAATGAAATCGCACAATCATCTGAAGAAATTATTACACAAAATAGTTATGAGAATGTTTCAAAGAAAAACGATTCGGAAGAAAGCCTTTTATTTCAGAAAGATATAAATAATGAATCCGAAAATTCTATTTATCCTAGTCAATCAACATTAAATTCATCTCAAGATTCTGTAATATGTTTAAAAAATGATGTGGTAACTATAGAACTAGACGAGGCAACAAGCGACACCAGTATTGAAATTGAAGCAAACAGTTATATTGAAACATCTATTGAAGAAATTAGAAAATTAGCTCTTGCAGAAGATGAGTTTCTACATTCATCAAATTCTAGGTCAAATTTGTCCCGGTTAAAGTTCAAAAGTGAAATCAATCCCACTAAAAATAAAACAGCTGAAGAAGAATTGGATAAAGAAATAACAAAAGATATGTTCAATAAAATGGAAATAATAGGGCAATTCAACTTGGGTTTTATAATTGTGAAGCTCGATGATGATCTGTTTATAATTGATCAACATGCCTCCGATGAAAAATATAATTTTGAGGATCTTCAAAAAACTGTTGTATTACAAAGTCAAACTTTAACGGTACCACAGCGTTTAGAGCTTACAGCTATAGATGAAATGGTTTTGATAGATAATATGAAAATTTTTGAAGCAAATGGATTTAAAATTCATGTAGATGCTGATGCCTTACCAACTAAAAAGCTAAAATTAATAGCGAAGCCTTTTAGTAAAAATTGGCATTTTGGAATAGAGGATATATCTGACATATTGTTTATGTTACAAGATGCACCACCTGACACGATGGTAAGACCATCAAAAGTTCGACAAATGTTTGCATCAAGAGCTTGTCGCAAATCAATAATGATTGGTCAAACGTTAAATAAATCAACTATGAAACGATTGGTAAATCATATGGGTGAAATTGAACATCCTTGGAATTGCCCTCACGGAAGACCTACAATGAGGCATTTAATAAATTTGGCAATGATAGAAACGGAAAATAGTGATGACAATGAAGATTAGAATTAAAATTGTGAAAAAAAACCTGTTTGTTTTCTTTTTGCAGTAGCATTTAGTACCTACCCACTTATTTTCTGCTATCGAGTGAATACTTCAGGGTTAATATAAAGTTTCGATTTTTTTAAGCTCCATATCCTGAATGTGCTAAATCCTTCAATTTCTTTTTACGTATTTTTCAAAAAATTGTTGCACGTGCGTGCATAGCTTTATAAAATATTTTGTAAATAAATAAATTGATATGTCATTTTCGTTGTCAATTACATTCGCAAAATTGATAAGCTAAAAAGGGAAAAGCCACGACAAATAAGAGTGAAAGCAACTTAGTTTTTGTCTAAAATAGTTTAAAAACTATGAATTTTACATATAAAAAATACATTGAATATTAAAGATTTGAACTTTAAAATATATTTAAACAAAACATATAGCTCACTTTTGCACAGATTAATTTTTGAAAGAATTTACCTGAAGGGTAATTGATGGTTGGATCGAAAATGTCTTTTCTTAGGGGTTCAACAAATTTTGTGTGGTGTACTACTAGCGTTTTAGGTAAAGGTGCAACTGGGGCAGTATTTCAAGGTGTAAATAAAAACAATGGTGAATCAGTGGCCGTAAAAACTTTTAACCAAATGAGTCATATGCGCCCAATGGATGTTCAAATGCGTGAATTTGAAGTCCTAAAAAAGGTTAATCATGAAAATATTGTGAAGCTCTTAGCAATTGAGGATGACCAAGAGGGGCGCGGTAAAGTTATTGTTATGGAACTTTGTACTGGCGGAAGTCTGTTTAATATTCTTGATGATCCAGAAAATACATATGGTCTTCCAGAAAAAGAATTTCTATTAGTTTTAGAACATTTGTGTGCTGGTATGAAACATTTACGTGATAATAATTTAGTTCATAGAGATTTAAAGCCTGGAAATATAATGAAATTTATATCGGAGGATGGAAAAACCGTATATAAATTAACAGATTTTGGAGCAGCCCGCGAACTGGAAGAAAACCAACCATTTATGTCTTTATATGGTACTGAGGAATATTTACATCCAGATATGTATGAACGGGCTGTGTTACGCAAGTCAGTTCAAAGATCTTTTACAGCTAATGTTGATTTATGGTCCATTGGCGTTACATTATATCATGTAGCAACCGGGAACTTACCATTTAGACCCTTTGGTGGACGAAAAAATCGTGAAACGATGCATGTAATAACAACACAAAAAAATTCAGGTGTTATATCAGGTAATTATCAATTTGAAATTTCGGCCCTTGATTTGATGAATTATTTCTAATTGCGTTTTACATGAAGATGAAGCGCGTGAATGAATATCGAAGAACAAGTTTTCGGTTACATATATGTAGGTATAATATTTGTATGGTATTTCATATTGTATGGATTCATCACCTACATGTATAATATTTCATATGATTCAATTTTCTAAGTCGAATCGCCTGCAGAACTGTTATCACAAAAACGTAAATAAACATTGTTTGAACCTGTAACACTATAAGCAAATATTTAAAATATTTTGTATTTTATTGGAATATATGTTAAATTTTTTTAAAAATTTTGTACCTATTTAGGTAACTAATTTAATATTCGGAAACGGAAAAACATCCAAAAAAAGAAAATAGAGGCAAAAAATCTCCCTTCTATTTATTTATTTCCAAAGATTTTATGGAATACCAAAAATATTATCTATAAATGATAGGGTTATCGTTAAATATTAAGAATTATTGTTATGAGCATAAATTAAAACACATGTACAAACGACTTAAATTTTTAAGAATTATCAGAAATATTCAACTTTAGTAACGCAAAATTTTTGCTTATCTAAATATGATTTTTCAATAAATCATTTCAATGAAGTTTTATTGTATGTGACAAATAAATGGACAAATATTTTAAGTAGCTTTAATTATAATTAAACTATTTTAATTATGTGATATTTCTTTTGATTTTAGGTATTCAACTAACAGAAAATGGTCCCATTGAATGGTCAAGAACATTACCAGCGCACTGTCAGTTAAGTGAAGGTTTAAAAACGTTAGTCACTCCATTGTTAGCAGGCCTCCTAGAAGAAAATCGAGAAAAAATGTGGTCATTTGACCGTTTTTTTCAAGAAGTTACACATATTTTGAGCAAAAGAATAATTCAAATGTTCTATATTAATAACGTTACCCGATATGAACTGTTTTTGGAATTGGATGATAAATTCGATGCTCTCCAGGAACATATTTTTGTTCAGTGTAAAGTGAGACCTGAAAATCAAATATTATTTTATGGAAATGATTACTTAGAAACTAAAGTAGGAACCCAAACTAATATTAAAGGTTATCCAAAAATTGATTTAGATAATCCAATATCTTTATTTTCCAAAGATAACAATAATGTGCAGTTACCACAACAATTGGAATTACCAAAATTGCCAACTTTTCCAAACAGTGTTTCAGTGGAGAATGATGCAAGTTTAGCAAAAGTTGCTTGTAGTGTTGGTCATGAATGTAAAAGAAGAATAGAAACTTTAACAATTGTCGACAAATTAATCAAACATGGTGTGGAAGAGTTTGTCGAAACTCACAAAAAAATATTAACGAAATTAAAATTAAAAAGTGAGAGCCTTGATGAAGTTATGTCAACAGCAATTGAGTTAGCTGATGCAATATCAATTTTACGCGATATCAAAATGCATTCCAAAACCGATTGGTTAGAACTAGATATGTTAAGAAAAGATTTTGATGAAGTATTTGAACGTATACAACAGCTATATCATAAGTTTGTTAATGAAAATTCATTAGCGCAAGAATGGATATCTTCAATGAAAGGAAGGCAATGTCCATGTGAATCGCGTTCTAGTGAACGTGCAAAATATTTTGTTGAAAGGTTACGAGACTCTTGGCAACATCTATTAAGAGATCGAGCGACACGAGCTTTGACTTATAACGATGAACAGTTTCATGCTTTGGAAAAGATAAAAATAGCCGGAAATAGTAAAAAATTGAGATCTTTATTAATTGAAGATGTCCAAACTAGTATAGCACAAATTGCTGAGTGTTTAGCAGACTGGTATAAGCATGCCCAAGCAGCCTATTTAAAAACAGAAATTTTACAAAAAGATATAGCTGATCAAGAAAATAGACTTATGGATATAAGACATAAACTTTTTGAAATAAAACATAGTATCAAGATAGATGAGTGCATTCGTAGGGAAAATGAATTGAATACTGTGTGCAAAATAGAGTTGAAACAGAAATTAAAAACTTTGTTTGAACAGGAAAATGAAACTAAATTAATTTTAAAACAAAATAACGAATTAATAAAACAAATAATAAAATTGCATTTAGATAATGAAGAAGAAAATTGTGATTCAAATAATGTTAGTAGGCTGTAACTCTATACATTATTTTATATAAAGCGAATGTATTTTGACTAAAAACTCTTGTTTTTTTATTGTGCCGAAAAAACTAAGGTTCATATAAAACTGTGGTAAACTGTTATTTATTAATTTTACTTGTTCATTTAAAATTATTTGAGTTTAAAAAATATGTATGTAGGTAGGATAAACTATAAAATAATGCATAATAAAATTTTATAATTGAAATTATGATAATAAAGATATATAATATATGTACATACATATGTTTGTGTGAACTTACTTAAAAATAAATTTATGTTTATGAAGATAAAGATTAGGGCTAAAGATTCCTAAAAGAAAATATGCTGACATACATAGTTTTTATATTCCTCAACAATGCTTTAGGAAAATGTGTCCTTCATATTTCTTACGAAGTTACAAACTTATTGGGCAAATACATAACTAGGAATGTATAATATGTACAAAGGGAGTAGGTATCAAATGTTTTTAAGAGGATCCAAATTATGAAACCGTTTCTCCTTTTAATGCCTTAAATTAATAATATACACTCCTGGGTCTAATTTTCTATTCGTAGTAAATAATTATGTATGTATTTATGTTTAAAGAAATGAAAGTAGTTTATTTTCGCCTTTTTGATTAAAAATATTTTCCGTTTTTTTAAAAAATTTTCAAACAGCTGTTATGTGAATGTGCAGAGGGAGTATGTTCCTACCTAGTATAATCCCATATACAACATAATATAGCCAAAATGGCTGGTTAAAAAATATCTCACAGACAACAATGACGGTAAAGCAAAATTTCGTTGCCTTAAGTAAGAAGTCCTAGTTGAAAAAATACTTAACTTTACTTAGCAATTCATTATTCATTCACCATATTGTAATTTTGTTCACACAGTCATCGAATTTTTGTGAATTTCACAAAAATTTACACATATTATGCATATGTGTATAACAAAATTATGTTTTTGTAATACATAAATTATATTTTGTTATAAAATGTACTTATTTGTATAACAAAATATATTTGCATTAGACGCCTTGACGTCAAAAATTTTTACCGTAAAATATATGTATTTGTAAAACAAAGTAAAGTTTTATTCATTCAAATGTTCATTATGACAATTAAAATTTTTGTGAAACAAATTGAAAATTTTTTATGAAAATAGACAATTACACGACGTGACAGTGAAATCAACTTCATATACATAATAGAACGGTAGCATTTCGTGTTTTTTAAAATGTCTTTTAGAAAACGATAAACAGGAAATTTAAACATGTAGACTATGGAATAGCTATTCTTTTCTCACATTCTCAAAGAAGATATTATCTATCTCCTTCCATTGGCATTGACAGTCTATCGGCAAAGAAAAACTAAAAAAAGAAAACGCAACGATGCTTTATTGCTTTTCTTTTTCAGTGTCTTTCATTGGTGGTTTTGGTTGGTGTGTGAAGTTTGAATAATTTCACAAAAATAAAACAAAAAAAAAAGTTTTTTATACTTTAATAATTAAAACATTTATTTAACTTAATTTAGAATTATTAATAATACTTAGAAAATAAAATACGATAAAAAAATTATTAAAGTATTCAATATAGGAAACAGGTTTTCCCTGTAACCAAGTGCATCGAATTTTTACATGAAATAAAAAAAAAATTTGAATAGTCACTACCATAGTATTAAATTAAAGAAGAAAACATGATATATTAAAAATGAAAATTGGTTTTTTTCTATCAAAAAGAAACATTTCTGTAATAAAATAGTGCAATTAATATATTAAATATTAATAAACTCTAAAAGTATAATAGGTTTAAAAGTTATAAAACAATTAATTACATTGAATTATAAAAAAAAAATATTTTAGTTGAGAAAAATTTCACTTAAAATTTCCTCATACATAAATGAAAGCAATTAAAAGAGTAATCTCTACTACATTGAACATTGTACTTGTTCTTAATAAAATTTAAAATAAAACATTTGAATTTCTCTTAACATTTTATCTATAATATCATAAACTACCTACCTACCTATTTAGTTACATATAAAAAAATTTTCATAAGTTGCTTAGTATTAAACTTATAGTGAATAAAGACCAAAATGCAAATACAAATTATATTACATGCGAAATGACAAATAAAAAATTTTGAGCAGCAGTTTTTATTTTACTAAATAATATTTGTATCATTACATAGGGGGTAGACAGTAGGGTGTATACAACAAAAAAAAAAAAATTTCTCATTTTGCTTTTTATAATAATACTTGCTGCTTTTCTTTGGTACTTGCAAATTTTATTTTTCATACATGACGATTACGACGAGGACTTGAAAAATACATACAATATAATATATTGGAGCATACAATTTCAATCAACATCGAACGAACAAAGAGTCGGAAAGCAGCTATCAACAACATACAGTATGGTAGTAGTATAAACTACATGTTTGTTAATTTTTTTTTTGTATAAATTTTAGTTGAATTCATATAAAATCGTTGAGTATTTTTATACTTGAAAACAAAATAATATACAATAATTTTTATATGAAAGTACCTTATCTACCTATAATAAAACAACAAAAAAAGCAAAGTGTTTTGTATGAGACGGATAATAGAGTAGAGAAAATGAAATTTTTTGTCATATAAAAGTGAAATATCTACTACATACAACCAACATAAAAAAGTATAAAGTATAATACAAAAGAAGAGAAATAGCTATAAAGCAAAAAATAAAAAGTTGAAAAATTCAACAAAGTTCAGACATTTTTGGGACTTAGAAAATTTTTTATAATAAAATCAATCAGTCTATATAAAAATGAGCGTCGAAAATCCACAAAATCAGCAATCTGAGGAAATTGTAAGTAAAATAAATTTAATTAAAATTAAAAAATAAATTTATTTTATTATTATAAATTTTTTGCTTAAATGCGTATTTATATAAGTTTACTTATTATAAAAATAAAAAATTTTTTCATAAGTATTATAAAATGGTGAAAATTTTTCAAAGTTTTTTTTTGTATGTAGAAAATTTTCTGAGTTTTTTTTTTTTCGTCTTTTGGGTGTCTTTTTCAATATGGAATCTCTTTATATTTAATAATTTTTATTATAAATTTCATAAAATTAACATATTTATTAATAAATAAAATATTTAAATAATATTTTAATTATTTTATATATTTTTTTTATCATAAAATTGTGTTGTGCTACTGCTATGTAGGTATAAAAAAAATATTTTTTTGTTAAAGCAAAATGGCGTTTCAGAGACTAAGTCCCACGTCGTAGATTTTTATAAAGGGAAAATAAAATTTTTTATATAATTTCTTTAATTTTTGTTCGATTTTAATTTGGTTTTTTGTAAAATTTGTTTCGAAAAAATTTAAATAAAATGAAATTAATTTTGAAAAATTGATTTTTATAATGTTTTTTATGAATTCTCTGAAATATATTTAATAAATTTTAAAATTTGTATTATAATTATTAAATTGAACATAAATTTTATTTAAAATGATAAAAAAATTTAAGAATTTCATAATATTAATGTGATTTTACTTATTAAAATTTTATAAAAATTTTAACTAAGTCCCATGAAAAAGTTACAAAGAGAAGAAAAATTTTTCTATCTTATTTTTTTCCATATGGATATAGAGAGAATAAAAATTTTGTTCATACATAAATGGTGTGTTGTTGGTATGAAGTAAAATATACTTATAATATTTTTTTTTTACATATTATAACTAAAAGGGAACTTAGGAAAAAAATGGTTGATCATATTGAAATTTTTATGTGAAATTTTTCTAAGTTTTTCTAGAGCATTACATACGATGTTCGTCGTTTAAGTTTTTTTTTTTTGTTCGAGAGATTTTTGAACTTAGAAAAATTTCATGAAATTTCTTAAAATGAACGAAGAGGAAAAGATACTTGGAAAAGGATAGGTAAAAAATATTGAAAATTAATGTAGATTTTGTACTTAGGTAACTTTTTTTACATACATATGTATAATATCTTATTTTTTGTAAATGGTGGAGATATACTGATATAAAATGGGGAACGGTCAAATAAAACGAAAAAAAAAAAGTTATATGAAAAATTGAAAAAATGCTGAGAATTGCATTATTTGGTAGGTAGGTGCCTTTACTTATTATATAGGCGTTATTATTTTAATTTTATAAAATTTTATTTTCAACTTAAACATAATAGATCTAGAAATTTATTTATCAATTATTTAATCTGTTCATAAGAATATACTATATTATATAATGCAGAATTGATAAATTTTTGATCACACATTTGTTTTACAAAAAATTTTAGTTTTTGATACATACATATGTGGAGTGAATATTGAAAATTGAAAAAAAAAAAAGATTTACGTAAAACAGCAGCCACGTACGTGAATGAAACAAGGCGAAGGGAAGAGAAGCTTTTCACTTTTGAACAAAGAAAATATTTAAAATCATTCATAATGAGTCTGCTGCCTACCAATTTTTTTTTCGTGTACTTAAGTATGGTAAAATACACATTAAGTCAAGCAAATTTTCACATTTCGCCCTTCATTAATTATAATATATGTATTTATAGGTATACCTATTTCTCTATTTACATTTGTGTCATGTAGGTACCTACGTAAATACATATTTAAAGCTCTTGGAAACGAAAAAAAAATTTGACGTTCTATTTGGTACACAATATTTAAATATTTATAAAAATGAAAAAGTTGTTATATAATCATTTAATTAGTGGAATATGAAAATGTTCTTATAAGAAATGTGGTTACCTCTCTGGGCAGAGCATAGTAACAGCGCAATAAATGTAAAAATAAATTTTATGTTGGTACCCCTACCTGCCTATTAATGACGTAATATTAAAAATTTTGTGTTTAAAATTTTTAATTTTAGTTAAAAAATTCTGGGCAGTTGCTCTGCCAGAGTTACCTCTCTGGGCAGAGCATAGTAACAGCGCAATAAATGTAAAAATAAATTTTATGTTGGTACCCCTACCTGCCTATTAATGACGTAATATTAAAAATTTTGTGTTTAAAATTTTTAATTTTAGTTAAAAAATTCTAGAACATTACCGAAAAATACGGGATGAAGAAAGGTGCTCTAAGGTTTCTTTGCTTTTCAGTTAGTTTTCATCTACATCTTTTTCCTAAATGTTTCGACTACGTAAAGAAAACTAAATTTTGACATATGTATGTAGCTAAATTTCAGATAGTATTGTCACACAGTTACGCTTCCTCAGGCTTTAGAATATAATATGACAATTACTGAATCATTATGTTTTATAAAAATATTACATTTGTTAAGTTTGTATTATTAAACTCTTTATATTTGTTATGCAAATAAATGTGTTATTTTGAATTTTTGGAAACTTTTTTCAACTGCTTTTCTTTTAAATTGACAGTTAAAATTACAAATGTATTTCTTCAAATTCTTTGTTTCAGCGTTTATTTCTTTTTAAAAATATTTGGCAACTGAATGATATTGTAATCGCAAGATAATACTTACATACTTATACGACAAAATCTGAGATTAAATCTACGATGAAGTCTGGTAATTGTTTACACATCAGACAAAAATTATCTGATGGCGCTCAAACTTTACGTCAAAGTTTAATAATTTTGCTACGAAAATTATAAGCATAATAAAAATTAATTGATCGCTGTTCCAAACTTTAGCTAGTGTTTAGATGTACGAATTTCATCGAACTAAAATTAAACTGTTGATTTTATTATTGTACTGTTGACACAAAAAAACCAATTACCTTTTGTTATTTTTGACGTTTTAAACAAAAATGTCAATTACTTATAAATTTATTATTAGAAATTTATATTGCCGCCTGATTAAATTTTGAGATGTTCGTCAATGCGAAATTATTGATAATCGAGTTATTCTTATCTTAAGTTTGTACATACTAATATGAATCAACAATTAAAATAGTTTTTTTTTTTCCTTTTAGAGTAAAACTTCTTTAAGAAGTAAAAAAAAAAAAACACATGTGGAGCTAAAAATTTTTGCATATGGCTGTTTAAATATAAGTTTATGTTGTGTTTGGTGTGAGCATCAGTTGGCCAATTTTTAGAAATAAGTAACTAGTTGTGACTTGTAGTATCAAATTTTTACTGATCAATTGTTAATTTTTTAATTGCTTACTTTCTACTTATATGGTATCGGATCGGATATTCTGTAACACATAATATCCAATTGTATTATGAACGTAATACATTAAGTCTCCCATATTATTAATTGAATTGGATTTTTTTTTACATAATAGGTACTGAACTGTTTTAGAATAACAAATTAAGAAGATTTAAATTTAAAAATATACATACCTGCATATGTATATATATATATATATATATATATATATAATATGTATATGTATATATATATATATATATATATATAATTTTCTTTAATATTTTAAAAATAAAACATTTATTCAGAGTAATAATTAATTTAAATAATAGTTATAATAGTGTGTTTTATCAATATTACAAGCATTAATCTAAAATTTTATCATGGTATGAACGTGTTTAATTAAAAAATAATTTTAAAATAATCCAAGAACTTAAAATAATTTCTTATTCTTGTAACAATAATTATGAATTGTGAATAAAATTTCGTTTACGTTTGTTTAAGAATTAAATACATATTTAAAAAAAGTAACTTTCATTTTCAAAAAAAAAAAATTGATAAGTTAATAAATTGAAAAAAATAAAAAATTAAAAAAACGGTATTGTTTTGTCATGCAACAGATGTTTTCCGAAATATTTAAAGAAAATATTTATTAAAAAAGAATTTTCTTTTAATGTTTTGGTAGATATTTGCTGTAAATTTCATCTTGATAAATTAATTTATTACGAACAAAAATTTAATTATTTAATAACAATTGTGACGAAAGTAAAATTAAAAAAAAATATAATCAACATTTTTAATAAATTTAGTGAAATATTTATAAAACAGAAATTTGAAAACGAAAAAAAAATAATCAATATTTATTATTAATCAGACCTAAAAGAATAGTGGTTTAAAAATTAAAAATTTGAATTAATTTCGTGAATTAAATATCAAAATCGATTTCAAAAGAAAATCCAAAAAAAAAATTCTGTTAAGCTGTTATGAAAAGAAAACAAAATTTTAGTAAATTTTAGTAGACAATTCAGTTTTAATGTACCTCATAATATAAAGCACGCTTCATTTAATCCAAACTGTATAAAGCCTGCAAAAATATCATGTTCGAAAATGACAATTGTGTATGATGTGATATAGAGTGACAAGAGCCTTAATATTCCAAAGTGTGTAAAAAATTTTTAAAATCGGTGGTGTCAATAATATGTGTTTTGCTTTTCTTTAGATAACGATATTTGTTTAATATTTAATTTTAAAGAAAATATCAATATGTAATATGATATGATAGCAAATTTTAAAAAGATAAAAAATATATACTTGAGCCTTATATTTTAATTTTTGGTATAAAAGAACGAATTTTACAAATTGCTACGCTTATTAATATCAAAATTTCTAATCTTATCAATATTTTGCAAATTATCATCTTTACTGTAATTAGATTTAATGTATGTAAACAGTTTTTCAGTTAGGTTTTCATAATATTTTATTTTTAATTATATCTAGCCATTTCATAAATTAAAAAAATAAAATTCTGCAGAATACTCAAAAATAAATATTCGGAACAAATGTATTTTCACATACAAAATGTTAATCAAAGACTGCTCAAGATACAACCTGCATTTAAATTTATTTTAAAAGATCCATACTTGATATTAACGCCCTACCAATTAAAAATTACTAAATTTGATATTTCGGTGTACATATGTATGTATGTATGTACATAATATTA